AAGCAGAAGATGAACCAGTGAAGTGCAGAGATGAACAACGAAAAGAGGAACTGAACAGAACCTATGGAAAAACACTACATTGGACGAAGAAGTGAAGAAGAGTGCACGCAAAGATAAAGGACATTTCTACGACATACTGGCAAGTGAAGCATAATAGCTGCTGGTTGGAGAGATAGAGACTTGACAACGCTATATCAAATAACCAGGTTACTTACTGTCCAGGAAGAGACCAACACAGATGAAACAAATGAAAGATAGTGAAGGGAATCTAGTTGCCAATAAAGAGGGGAAACAAGGGAAACGATGAACCGATCACTTCAGAAAACTGTTGAATCGACCACGACCTGCAACTCCTCCAGAAATACCACCGGCAACCGCAGAACTACCAGTGAACACAAGCCGAAGTCCTGCACGCCATAAAGGTGCTGAAATCCAGGGAAGTAGCAGGACCAGATGGAATGGATAACAACAGATATGCTCTCATGACTACTGCAGAAGGTTTGGAGTGAATGGAGGAAAGGTACCTGTTAATTGATTGGAAGTAGGGCTACCTTGTCGAACTCCCGGAGAAAGGAGACATAAACCTTTGCAAGAACTGGTGCAGAATCATGCTCCACCTCAAGCAAAATATTACGCCACATCATCCTGGAGAGACTAAGAAATGCCAGATCAGGCTGGTTGGTTGGCTTAAGGAAGAACAAATCGTATGCGGATCAAATTGCAACGGTACGCCAAGCATCATTATAGAACAGAGTATAGAATGGCAGTCAACTCAACTTAACTCTACCTCAATTTCATCGACTTTGAGTAGGCCAGCCTTCGACAGCGTCGACCGAGAAGTAATTTGGCAGGCAACTGCTTCAACACTATGGAATACCACAAACCTTTATCAATCTCATTCAACAACAGCTATATGAAGACACCACATGCCAGCTAAGTAATTCACAATGGGGAACTCGGTGATGCTTTTGAAGTGAAGACTGGTGATAGGAGTAAGACAAGGTTGCCGCTTACTATCACTATGGTCTTCTTGATTGTGGTCGACTGGATCATGCAGCGAACCGTGAGGAGCTTTGAGAAGATGGGCCTACACTGGCTGGACCGATGAAGGACCCAAGGAAAGGATTCAGATTTCGCCGATGATTTGTGTCTAATATTGCAAAACCTCGAAGATCTGCAGGCAAAAACTAACAAGTTGGCGGAAGAGGCAGCGAAGACGGGACTCCAAGTGAATGTAGAGAAGACAGATGCGATGCAGTTACCCAATCACCATCACCAACCACAAGCACCAATCACCATTAGCGGGAGAAACCAAAAGGAAGTAGTCTCTTTCACCTGCCACCTAGGCAGCATGATTTCAACTACAGGTGGCGACACAGACGAGGATGTCGAAACCATGATCGAAAGAGCAAGATAAGCTTTCACTAATCTGAAATCAGTGTGGAGATCTACTGCACTCAGAGTAAAGAGTGAACAATATCCGGATTTTCAACACTATGTTAGTCATTTCAGTGCTTCTATGTGATGGTTCAGAGACTTGGCGTGTCATGGAGAGCATTTCCAACTAATTACAGACATACATCAATAGCTGCCACCCAAGCTCGATGCTAAAGATAAGACAGCCAAAAAGAATAAGCAACAAGGAACTCATTCTGGCTTGCCAACGAACTAACCAAGAACCCATTGCCCAACAAATATGCAGAAGAAAGTGGAGATGTATCGGACATACACTGAGAAGACCATTTTGGTACATCACGCGCCAGGCCAGGCAGTCGACTTGAACTTAAAAAGGAAACGACGAGTTGGGCGTCCAAGCTGAGGGTGACGTGGAAGAGATCGTGTGAGGAAGAAATGAAAGTTTATGGGGACTCATAGGGCCAGGTTAAGAAGCTTGGAGAGAAAAGCGTGAAATGGTGACGTGGTACTGAAGCCCTTCGTTCCACTAGGAACTCAAGGGACAAATAATAATCATAATAGAAAGAGTCAAACAGGCAGGTAGTCATGCTATACGACTTTACAGAATATAATAGTTCACATTATACTGAATAATAATGACGAAAGCAGGGATATTTTGGCCAACTAGTGTGGCTCGTCACGGATGAAATCCTGGCACGGATATACAAGGCTCGAATATCTTTCGCTAAATTATGCCACTGATGGTACCGCCGGCATGATGTCTGATTAATTACCTTTTAGGGGTCGATTGTAATTTACCGTAGTTTGCACTGTCCTGCTCTATGGTTGTTGGATCTGGCCAATAAAGTTAGAGGTATGAGAAGGCTTCATGTATCCGACCACCGTTACTTCCATATCATATGCTGAGTTCCCACGTAATCAATGTAGAAACCAGTTGTGGAGCCATGGGAAGAAGAGGGAAGTTAATCAGTGTTGTTATAAACCTTAATTGACTCAAATGCGTGAGGTATGCATTATGGATGCCTGTCACTGTGTGCCCTGTCACACGGTGTTAACTGAAGTAGGTTTATGCTGGACGCGACTGATACATGGTATCAGTCCACGAAGTTTTTGACCATTAATGTGAACAGTGTAAAGAAGTGTCAACTTCTCGGTTAGGGTTTGCATGACAATGGATGAAGACTATGTTGGTGGTGTGACTGAGAATCAATCTCTGTGGTGTGAATGTATCTCGTCATTACCTTGGTTGTAGTCATCATGGTGAATTTCAGAAGTCCATAATTTTTCTTGCTCTCGTTTGAAGTTTTTAAACCAATTTTGAGACTGGTTTGTGTTTTGATTCTTTATCTTCCATGTTGCTTCATTCTTGGCTTATGGTCTGATATGAAATGCCACAACTTGAGCCGTTACGCAGTGATAAAAGGTCGCATCGAGATTTATTCTGTCTATCTGACTACTTTAATCCAGTTAAAGCTACTCTCTGCATAAGCGCATCATCTGCTAGTTAAATATTGTTGCGATGTAAGATATGGCTTTTATCCCTCAAATAAAAGATAGTAGCACCAATATGCTGTCCCAAGGGCTAGTCAACAAACTCATATTGATTTCACAAGCTGAGGTAAAATTCAGAAATCCTCGTATTTTGAACATTCATCGTATCGAATATCACATCACTCCTAAATATTTTCGCATATGTATACACCATTACCAAATGACAAGGTTATAACAGCAGTAGACTGTGTCTAGGAGAAGAACTACATGGAAATATTAAGAAACCTATCTGTTATTCGAAATGAAATTAAACAACTAAAATGCAAACTAATGAAGATATCATACAGTGCAGATTATGAAATCCTAATTGAAGCATAGAACAAAGCAAAATCGTCTGATTTCAACAAACTAAAAAATGATCAGATTTAGAATCTCAGCAAATTGATGGGAGAATAGTGCCTAACTGAGAGGAAAGAAACTGTAAATATGGAAACATCAACCATTGATCAAACAAAATGGGTGCGTGATCAACCTTTCAACAAGAGTACAGAGCTAGAAAGAAATGCAGGCGTGTGAGAAGAGTAGAAACTTCAGCATACCAATAAGTTATTTGAAACCAGGAGATGTCATGCCTAGTATAGATGTAGCATTAAGTGCAACAAATAAAATGACTGCTAAAGAAGTGCAAACACCATGTGCACTAACACTAAAACAGCAGAAGAGAGTGAAGTGAAGTTTTACAAGACCGAAAGTACTAACTACACAGAGTCTTAGAAATGACAGCAGCATAGGAATTACCAAAACTGATAAAAGCAAACTAACAGTACTTATGAACAGGTCAGATGGCTTCATCTGTCCACCTTTGTTACCTATGATTTATCGCACTGTTGTGTAAAGAAAAACTATCATGATACGAACTAGGGTTTTGGAGTGGTACTGTCCATGACAACACAGAAGACTTAGAAGACAGGAAAATAGCACTGTTCTTTCTCAATTATAATTAGCCTAAATTTTCTTTCATATTTCGTGTTGAAAGCATCTGCTCCATTGGAATTGTCTTTTGTGCATCACGTCAAACTGAAATTGGTAAGATACCTATTTCTCTTTATTATGTGGAATAACGTTTCTGGTAACAGCACGACGAACTACATAGCTGGTGTCGCATGAGCTCCAGGAAATGTGGCACGTACGCCAGCATAATAAAACCATAAAGATATAAGGAAGGAAAGATAAAAAGCTGCCAGATAAAAGGAGAAAGAGAACCGGCTACATATGAATTTTTTCTCGATAATTGGGGGACAGTAGTGAACTGCAACACGATTACCACTGGTTTCAATTTCCGGAATACCTGATAAAGATGAATGATCTCTTGTATTCTATCACAGAATGTCTTAGTTACCAGAAGCCTAACCAAAAAAATATAGCCTGAAGAATAATTTAGCTGCATTATGCTTGGTCGTGGCTAGCGGTGAAATTCAACTGGATGTAACTGCATCACAGTGACAGTCGAAGCCAGCACCCATCTCTTTAAACGTTAGGGTGTTATCTACTGTGTGACTGAGTCACGATAGCTAATTCTTGAACAGCAGGTATCAGCTTTTATTTTTCGATACCACTGGATAACTCTAGGGTGTTTGAAGCGGTAGGTGGTGGGTTCAGGGATCACTGAAGGATCTCGAGTTACTATGAACGTCTCTAGATACCACCAAACAAATTACAACGTAAGAAGTCTTCAGTTAATATGAAGTAATCTATACAAGAGCCTATGTGGCAGAACAGATCGATTAGTACGATCTAGTATGGCCAATAAATTCCAATAAAGGAGAAAAAAATATCCTTCATGTCATCGGAAACCACTTGAAATAATCGAGATTATAAAACTTGTGGATATTAGCATTTAAAAGATGACTGCAGATCAAAGGAACTATTTGTCTTTATTTATTGAGAAGGAATTTAAACTGTTTTATGAATGTCTGATTCAAGCAGTAATATACTGATGAATTCATAGATACTCTGATGAAAGACCACTGCATTATTAGTGAAAGCTTTTATTACTTTATGTTTGTCTGTTTCTTTTGTTTATATTTGTTTAGGTGCCAAATATCCGAAATTTTCTGTGTACAACATTTGAATTACGCTCAAAACATGTGGAGAAATCATGGTCCTATTTGGAAATTCGTATTAATCAAGAGAGTAGTACAGTAAATACAAGTCGTGTTACATTTATTCTTATAACTCATGAACGTGGAGAATTACCCTTCAGTGCTTATGATAGACATATTCATACAATTCTACCACCAGAAACATCAGTTTCATTATATTTTTCAAAATCAGTAACAACACGTTTAAATACAGCCCGAAATCCATGCCATGTCGGTGCTGATGCTAAATTTATAGCCTCTGAATTAACAATGGACACAGAAAGTGATGATAGCAATAATATAAGGCTAAATAGTGTAAATAGTCAAATTCCATCAGAAACATCTAAGTCTACACTAAATGATGGAATTGAAGACTATAGTTTAAGCGCTTTTTCTAACAGCAACACAAATATATATGATGAAAATGCTGATGTTCATCAACGATGGTACTTAGATTATCTTGATACACTTCGAATGAAAAATAAAAAGACATTAATCACTGATACAACAAATTATCTACAACAAGCTTTATCACGTTTTCGAAAGAAAACAACAGATCAACGTCGTAGCAAATCATCTACGGTCAGTTTATTCGGTACAGAATTTTTGTATAGTCGTGAAGCATGCGGTTGGGCTGAATGTTGTGCTAAAGTTGCCTACAGTTGTAATTGTACATGTACTTTAGACTTATTATCAATTAATCGTTCAGCTTCACAAACTCATTTCATTTGTGAACGTTCACAATGTCAAGATGAACAAATCCCTTATGAAACATGTCCATTACCGTGTATACAAACAAAATTTATCAAGCATAGTGAAGTACGCTTATCCGGTGTTGAAGATGGTCTACCAATATCAACAAGTCGATTAAAATTAGTACGTAGTGAAAGTGTACAAGTTGCTACAGAAGAAGAAATCTTTTCATTAGCTAAGTTATTTTCTGAAGTTGGCGGTTTATGTTCACTATTCATTGGTTTTAGTTGTATATTTTTATTTGAATTATTAGAGGCGCTTATTTTAATGCATTATCCAAAAGAAAAACAAACCATCAAAGTTAACAATAAAAACAATGTTAATAATGGTAGTAATAGTAATAGTAGTAGTAGTAGTAGTGGTAATGGTAGTAATACTACTAAATTACATGTAAGTAAGCATAATAACCAGAGAGATTCAACACAATCATTTATTCAGAAAAATGAAAAACGAATTACAATACCAAACACCACAACAGATTGTATAGTCAACTCAATAATAGCAACCGCAAATAACAACGACAATAGTAGTTGCAGTAGTTGTGACACTTGTAATATTAACAAGGCGTGTACTTCAAATTTTAACGCACTCTCAAAAGACGAATATCATGGCAAGGTTGAACACTTTTCAACTCGAAACAAATATTTTAATGGTGTCGATAGTAAGTCGACAAGCTGTAACAATCAAAGAGAAGATTTGCACACAAGTTCACATGATAAAAATGCAATTCCATTGAATACATTACATAACACCAATGATACCAATAACAGGATTGTTGTTAATGAAAAGATGGTGTCTTCAGCTAATGGGTATTCGCTTAATTCAAATGAGATAATTGAATCCAGTCATGTGTACATGCTACCGATAAGGTTGAACACTACAATATCATTACATAAAATAATAGAGAACCATGGAAACTGTCAAATAAAATCAACCTCTCTGAATACTTTGAAACATCGTAAAAATTCTATAGATAAAGTTGGACAGGATTACATTTGTAGTGAAGCAATAACAAGTAAGTTACAAAATTGGCTTTATTAGTTGTTTATTTACATACCGACTAGTATTAAGGCCTACCGTGTACACTTTTTGCCTATTAAGATTCATCAGCCAGGTTAACTTTAAAATATTTTGGGGTTCCCCTTGAGAGTCTAGTCCATAATTCATCATTTTGGATAGGAAACATTTACCTATCAAGCTAAGATCGCTTCAGATACCGGTAATTCCAAGCAAATGGTCCTGAGTTGTACAAATGGTATGTTTTTCGCTTCATTGCTAACCACTATCAGTGACAAGCAATAGCAACAATCGCATACGCACATCTACAGGCATTAATCAGTTCGCATGATGAACTAATATTGAGAATGATGAAAATAGCCCGATATAGACTGTTTTTGTCTGTCACTTGTAAATTTTTCATCTTGGAAATTGATACGATTGATAAAACTGCTCATATCACAAGATAAACTCTTGGATGACTAATCAGTCATCAAACAGTATCAATACAAGTCAGTCAAACTACGACTATCTCAGATAGTCAAGCTAAATATTTGGGTAAAATTTTGCTAGAAGTCATAAGAACGCAGTCATGGGATTGAATTAGTAAGTTGTGATCTTCTGGAGATGATACAACTTGAAAACAATGTCCAGAATTATGATAGTAAAAGGGAATTGAAATAACTCCTGAGAAAATTATTTTAGACAAAATTTGGCTTATTGTGGATAAATGGTCTAGAACACACTTTTCGTCCCGTTTTGTTCTCCTCAGCTGATCTTACCTGTCCTCTAGGTTCCAGTGCTAGCCAGTATCCATCCTTAAAGTTGACACAAAATTCCCAGCTACATTGAGTTATCTGCACAGCAGCCCATATACTACCGCAGGTTGTCCAGTTCGGTCTGCATTGATCAACAAACGGAAATAATAAATTCCAGTGTCATGTATTGGCTTGGCTTAAGTAGGACAACTTACTTTACAAACTGTTTAGTTTTTTCATGATATAACTTCATTGATGCTGAAGACTGACTTGGCACTTTTGTGCTGTATATTTGCCAGTTTGAATAGGCAATTAATAATCAGTTTGCTTGTTGAAATGGATCAGTTGAGCGATTCCTAGTTGGGAAGAACTGAACACTAGATGATGAAAATGGGTGGCGTGTGTATCCAATTAATTTGGTTTTATAAGTGTATTGTACTGGAGTCGAATTTCTTATTGATAAAAAGATACTTTGCTGGTATGGGAAAGAGGAAGTATAACATTTTCCTCTGCAATAAATGCAACTTACGACAGATTACCAGGGATTTGCAGTCATTGTGTAAATCGTTCAGAAATTTGCCATAGTCTTCAGGGACCATGATTTCAATCATTTGCACGTCAATTCTTTGGCTGTTGCTCAATCTTTTCTCTGGTACAAATCGTTCCTCTCCTTACTTTTCCTATCTTGATCTTAGTGACATGCGTAGATTAGACTACACCCTGTCTTAAGGCTACCATGACGTATGTGAGTATCGTACTTCAGTTGGTAGAAAACCAGGCCTATGAACTGGAAACCAGTGGTAGCAATCCGTTTGTCACTGGCCTTCCATTTCACTTCCAATCACCCAATAATCAGTATCAGTAACACCAGTCTACCGAACAACTGTCATGCCTTAGTGGACCAGTGAATAACGCTTTGAAGTTTGGAGCGATTGGTTCTGGCTTCGAGTTTCAGTGGAAATACCACCACTCACTAGGGAGGTGGGTGCATCCAACTGACGAGTTTTAAATAGGACAAAACGCGTGTTGTGGACTCTACCGCCAACCATCAAACAAACTTAATAGATAAAACAAATGAATACAGGAGAAGCCTAATGTTTGGATGCGGAGTTGTGAGAACGAACGGTTTTACTTAAGGATTGTTAGTCAAGAGTTAAGACAGTCCAAATCGAGTGCTTCTAAAAGAGAAATCAAAGACTGGAAATTAGCTGAGTTTATAGTATCTCGGAGTGAAAACGGAACCTATTTATAGAGTTTACGGTAACCTTGAAAGGCAAAGAATAATAAGTACGCTTAAAGAGGCAGGAGCCAATCAGAAAGATGGCTAGTTAAGTGAAATATCACCCATGCGCGGGAAAACAGCACAAATTAAAAAAGTTCAAATATACCTAAACTGTAAGTATGGAATATAAGGGATATGGACATCCCTAACGTTTAATAAATTAGAGTAGTTGACAAAAGGAAACTGACAAATCGAATATAATAAGTTGAACTTTCTCTGTAAAAGTTTGCATCAAACATTTTCGGTAGAAACAGAAATAAGGTTCACTCAAAGAATATTGTAATGAATTATGAGGAAGAGAGAAAAGTCAGTTTACCAAGGCCAGTAGACACTGATGACTGCATCCTTTTGGAGAAGCAATTCAAGTTTCACTGGTTTGGTCTGTTTCAGCTTTAGGTTTGAACTACCCAATTTATTTGTTGAAGGATTTCGAGGTATTCACTTGATGTCCTATCTCAAAAACACGTCAAATAACTGTACTATTGAAAGCAGTATTTCCCCTAAAAAACAGTCTTTTTGTAATGTGCTCAAAGAATATAAGGTATACACTTTTCACTGTTCTCCTAATATAACTTCTACTGTGGTTATATATATATATATATATATATATATATATATATATATATATATATATAATATACATAAAGTTGGAGGTAACATAGGAGGGCAACCATATTAACGTTTGATCGTACTAAAGAAAACTTTATTCTATACAGATGGATAAAGTTGGTGGTTTTTTCAGCCTTCTGTCGGTTCTCCCTGTAACATCGTCACCTTTGAAGTTGAGTTCAGTGTAAACTAGATTCCTGCTCACTGTGATTTCACCTAAAACTTATTGTCTTTAAATTTTTCATACTTACTGATACGTTTCTGTGGACAACTGTTGTCTCAGAGGATCTTTTCAATGCCCAGCAATTCTTCTTTCAATTTATCACTTCTTAACTAAGTAGAAAGGTGTTTTCACCTTTACACTTCTATAATTGGCTGCCTGAACAAACGTTGTTAGAATTTAGATACATTTTATTCCATGTATCCTGTTGTTCAATGGACCTGTGAAGCGTACTATGCCTTATTAGTTGTAGGTCAGTATCTAAAGCTTTGAACTGTTCGTGTTCCATGATGAACTCGATGTTTTGATGAGAATTACTGGAGAGTTATAATAAGCAAGTTGCATAACATTGGTGCATAAGACAAATATGTCATCAAAATATCTTAGATAAGACGTTGTTTTTTCGGTTGCTTACTTTAACTTGGCTTTCTCGACGTTGGCTATCAAGATATCTGCAGGATCTATGGGGAGTAACTAAGTATGGAGTCTGTATGCGGATAACTGGTTCCATTCTTAAAGTCCCTCAGATTACTGAACAAAAGCAGGTACAATAGTATCTGATATATGACTTATTTTTTCACTTCAAAGTAACAATTGACTTAAAACGATGGAAGTGTTTTCGTGTTAGGGAGGCCTCTTAGTTTGTAATCAAGCTGCTATCCCATTGCTTACAGAAAGACATTTTTACAGGCGATAGTAATCAGTCACTTCCCTAAAGAGATGAGCAATGCCGCCATCCCCATGAACTTGTAGATAAAGTTACGCTTACTTCAGAACTCTTATTGATTAGTTTTTCAACTTGGGGGTCTGGTTGCCTTTATGTATGCAAACAATGAGGTCCTGTTTTTCGGAAACACTGACGGAATGAAAAGGTTTCTAAAGATCTTTAGAAGAAAATAGTTTTTTCGTGTGCCTTATGAACTTATCAGATGTAAAATAGTGTTTGAGGAATAATTAACATTGACACAATTAAAATATACGGAAAGAAATTGTTGAATACACTGTCGACTTCATCAGTGTAAAGAAAAACGTTTTCAGATGAAGCAACAGTATAGGCATAAACGGCTTGTACGCTGTCTGCATTACCTTGACAAATTTGACACCACTTTGATATCCGACTACTGAACAGTTTGTCTTTGCTCTACTCATCAACTGTTATACATGATCATTGAGGGAGGTGGGCGGCGAAATATATAGTGTTCTGGATCTTCGACCACAAATTACTTCTCAGTATAGAGAGTCGTTGTATAAATTGTGCGAGTCAGTGAAGTTTCATACCTTTACTGAATAAAATTACTGAACACGTAATAAACACATGTCAAGCCAGTATGTATTACAGTAAACAAAATTAGACGCATAAAAACTGAGGTGAAAAAACCTGTAGACTTCCGGAATGTGACAACTTATTAACCAATAAAACTCCTCACTGCCATCCCAAGCAGTTTACTACAGTGTGGCTAATTCTTTTGATGGCCTTCATATGTTTGGAATAACTGACATAATTCGAGAAATCTACTACATGGGTACTTAAATTCTGATAATCTTAGGCCTCACTTTCTGCTTATTCTCTTCCACTTCATATTCTCACAGCTTTAATCTTGCCGCAACTAAAGTCTTGTTTATTGCCCAATAATGTTTAGTCGTAAAAGCTGAGGAGCTCATCACTTGCAGATTTGTATGATTTTATACCTTCCCATCTGTAATGCCTTATTTCCGATAATGTTTTTAAAAGGATCAGTGTCTTGGCAGAGGTAATTTACTGACAGTTACTAATAATTTCATGTAAAAACAGATCCCCTACCGTATTTATGAGTTCAGTTCATTTTCAGGCGACACTGTCGTAAAAATGAAGTGTTGATTCAGTAATATGATTACAAACGTGTATCACACAGCAAAACAGCATCATTATTATAGAAGTAAAACTTGGGCAATGTGGTAGATTGTAATTTCATTTTAGTCTTTATTAGAAATGTCTCACAATGAAAGGACGGTATCATTTACTGGATAACCTTTCGCAAACCATTTATTGTCCATATTCACACCAGGTAACTCCGCAGCCTTGAGACAGGTTTTATACGGTCCTAATTTTCTCTCCTTCTCTGTGAGGACAAGAATAGTAGTCTTTTTCGGATGTCTGGAACAGGTGCAGA